GGGCCGGGCGGCGCGCTCGCGCCCATGTGCCCGCCCCCGTCTGCACGGGAAGCGGCCGGGAGGGGCCGCGGGGGCCGGCCACGTGACCAGGGCTCCCCACGTCGGGCCGGGCTCGGCGGCACCGGGACCCCTGCGACACCCAGCCCGGACGCGGCCCCTCCACCGCGCGTCGCCTGTCTGGAGCCGAGACCCGGGCTGCAGCAGCCGCAGTGGCCAGCACAGAGCTGCACTTATCGGTGACGTCTGCGCTGAGTAATTTGCTGTGCTGACTTCGGCCCAGGAGTTTGAGCTGAATTTTCTCTTAACAGTCACGTAGTGGCAGCTCTGTGGGCATGACTTGGTCTCCAAGCCCGTAAAAGAAAAAAAAAGTCTCGTGGCAATATTGAGGTAGATATTTGGTTGTGGAATTACTATTGACTTATTCATTCAGCTTTTCCTAGTTGCTTTTAAGCAGTAGCTCTCGTGCAGGAACCCGGAGGAAGTAACAATGTTAGACTGCTGGGTACGTTTGTTCTCCAGTGCCAACTTCGGGATGAGGCAAGGGATTTTTGCCCGGAGAAGAGTCCATACTTACTTTAGGTTTTATTCCCCCCCCACCCCCCCCAACGTCATAGTCAGATAATGGTTTACCTGTAGGTTTACAAATAGCTTTAACTGGTCAAATGGTATTTGTTCCACAGGATGAAGATGAGTGGAAGGAATTTGAGCAAAAAGAGGTTGATTACAGCGGCCTCAGAGTTCAAGCAATGCAAATAAGGTATGGTCTGGTTACACATGTGTTTAGATGACGTTTAGGGATAGGTACTGGAAACAAGTTAACAAGTTTGATTTTTCTTCTTTTTTTTTTTAAAGATGACTGGTAAGGGGATCTCAACCCTTGACTTGGTATTTTCAGCACTACGCTCTCCCAATTGAGCTAACCGGCCATCCCTATACAGGGATCCGAACCTGTGGCCTTGGTGTTATCAGCACCACACTCTCCCAAGTGAGCCACGGGCCGGCCCTCAAGTTTGGTTTTTCTTTAGCCCCAAAGCAGCATCATAGTAGCCTTGTGCTTTAGATATGCTTATCAGGACTCTAATGGATTATGTCTATCCTTGCTCCATGACGGCAGTCCTTCTACGTGCTGATCAAATTAACTGCCAGCCCTAAAACCCTGTGAGAACTTGCCATCTTCCAGTTCTGGTTAGGCCTTTTTATTTCAGACAGCTAAAATATGTCATTTCAAGGTTTTTATGTTCAGTATTGGTGGTTGGACTTAGTGTTTCTTTTTGTTTCAAGAATGACATGGATGTTTTTCAGATCCTCTCCAGTAGGCAAGTTCATATATATGAGGGTGCTTCAAAAAGTTCGTGGAAAAATAGAATGAAAAGATAATATGAATCTTTCCATGAACTTTTTGAAGTACCCTCGTGCTTTTGTAATTGAAGTACAGCATGCTTATAGAGAGGTACAGATTTTACAGGTTCTTACAGTGAAACCACCTGTGTAATCAGCACCCAGGTCAAGAAACTGAAGGGTGCTGGGAGAGAACAAGGTGGCCTCCTGACTGACACCTTTCATTCACTGCTTTCACCCTGAGGACAACCACTACCCTCACGCCATAGGTTAATTTTCTCTATAACTTTATAGGAATGGAATCATATATTCTAAGTGTGTTATTTTTAAAGTTCAAGAAACAGTAATTTTAAAAATTAGATTGGTTGGTTTGGAGGATTTGAAATCAACATTTTATCAAGTCCAATCTATGGTAGTCATTTTTTTTTTTTTTTTTTTTTTAAAAGATGACCGGTAAGGGGATCTTAACCCTTGACTTGGTGTTGTCAGCACCACACTCTCACAAGTGAGCAACCGGCCATCCCTATATAGGATCCGAACCCGTGGCCTTGGTGTTATCAGCACCGCACTCTCCCGAGTGAGCCACAGGCCGGCCCCAATGGTAGTCAATTTTATATGATAAGTAAATGCCATATTTTGAGGGGCTTGAAAAGTAGGAAAAACAGGTGAATATATGGTTCTGTTGGTTTAAGATTAAAAATCCTTTATTCCCAGTTTAAAGAATGTGAGGGTACTTCAAAAAGTTCATAGAAAGATTCATATTATCTTTTTTTTTTTTTCCCTTTTTGTCTTTTTTCGTGACCGGCAATGGGATTGCAACCCTCGGTGTTGCGCCCGCACCTCGCTCAGCCAGTGAGCGGCCGGTCTGTATGTGGGATCCGAACCCTCGGCGGGAACGGTGCACTGTAGCAGTGCGCCACCGGGCCGGCCCCCATATTATCTTTTAATTCTATTTTTCCATGAACTTTTTGAAGTACACTTGTAAATGATCTTGATGAACTGCCTGTAGTTTGAAGTTTGCAATTTGTATACAATGCCAGTGACTGCGTGGCACAGTGGAGGAAATATTTTCCTTAACTAAAAACTATCTTTTGACCTTTCTAGATGGCAATATATTGTGGCCTTAAATAACTTTCTTTAAAAATCAGGGCTAATATTTTTGGCATTTGTTGAATACCTACTACAGCTAGACCTTGATGTCCTAAGTGTTTCCTAAGTGTTTTCACATCAGTTTGTGAGCTTAACCAACGTGAAACCTCCTGATTGACAGTGGGAAACTTTTAGGAAATGTAGTTCTCTACTCTTGAGATTCTTTTGTGGTAGTGTTAAGTAGAAGTGATTAGACTGGAGTTTGATTCCCAACCACTTGTTGGCTTCCTTTGTGTTTTAGATGTTTTTGGAGAGGTATAGTTTAGAAAATATCCTTGTTATCTTTCTCCTGGGGCTTGATCTGGAAAAATGGGGGAAGAAGTGATATGAGGTTTTTACCATTTGAGAGAGAGAGAGTGTGTGTGTGTGTGTGTGTGTCTGTCTGTCTGTCTCCTGTTCTGTTGTAAAGCTAGGCTTTTCTTGGTCTGCCTTTCCTTTCCTGTCTGCAGGTTTTTGCATACTTAAATGACAGGAGGGGGACAATGTTTAGCCACGTGGAACTTAAGGGGCAGGAGTAGCACTTAGTGAAGGGCATAGCTTTCAAGTTCACTGAAAATTAGAAGTTGATTTTGTCAAATTATGGAGAATATTTAAACAGAAGCTATGTTTTTCTGTCATTGACCATAAATCCTCTATTCACATTCAGGATTATTTTAGTCTCTCTATTTTGGCTATGCCTGAGATGATGAAACATTTCTTAAATACCTTAGGTAGTTCACCCTTGCAAGGAACCTAAGTAAATCTCAGTTTGAGTATTTAAGTTCTGCTTGACCTGAAGTAGGCCAGCTTTTATATTGCGTTTTTTTCGTTATTCTTAGCATCTTGTCTTTGCCTCTGAGAGGCCATCATACAGGTCCTCAGCTAATCTGCTAACATTGAAAAACATTCCCTCTTCAGGAAGCGGCTTTTGTGGGTCCTCATTAACTGTTGAGTCTGGAGTCTGTTTCTGTGGCCTTCATAAATCATTCACTTAAGGGGGATTTAACAACTTCCAGGAAAGGCTTGAATGAGAAACCATGTGAGGTTTAATAATAATAATAGTAGTAGTAGTACTACTACTAATAATAATAACCGAAATTTTCACTTTACTGAGTATCCTTCTCAACCTTGTATTAAATGTTCTTGGCAGTGGAGCTCAGTAGAGTGGGAATCCCCAAGGAGAGAGATGCTGGTTCATAGGAGTGGGAACTAGGTTACTCACGTAAAAGGGAGGTAGTTAATAATGTGGCAAAAACATGAACTTTGGGGAAAGACAAATCTGGGTTTGCAATTTAGCTCTGCTGCTGCTTAATGCTTGTGTAGTCTTGGGCAAGTCATTTTACTTTTGAATTTTGGCTCTTACCTACAAAATTGAGGCTACTTAGGATTAAGATTTCTTTGAACAGCGTGCTTATAATAGTAATCATGGTAGTTTATGTCTTCAGTCCATCATATTTTTCTATTTGTGAAAGACACAGCTTTGCTATCTCAATATAGGACAAGGGGAAAGGAAGCTTTGGAAGTTGACTTTAAATATCTTGTTTTTCTCAATCTACAGTCTTAATTTTCTCCCAACTTTTTTTTGTTTTCTTGGCAGCTGGCTGGTACAGGGATTGAACCCTGGATGCTCTCCCAACTTTTTGCTTTGAAAAATTACAAACCTCAGAAAAGTTACAAGAATAGCAAAGTAAATACACATATACTTTTCACTCAGATCTGCTATTTTTGCCACATTTGCTTTATCTTTTTCTTTCCCCATATACTGAGAGTTTGCAGATATTAAATACGGTCTTAAAGTTCTTGAAACTAGTAAACATGCTGAGCCTTTATCAAAGATAAGCATACAATTAAAAGGGGGAAATTTCAGTAGTAGCAAACTTACTGTATTACGATTCTATCTTGTGTTTACCATCCAGCTCAATATTTGGTACCCAGAGTACTTCATGTCAAATTTTATGTCTTAATAGGTCATGTCATTATTCTAGACAGGTTCTCGAAAGGGAAGCCATTGAGATAGTGATAAAGGGGCCTGCCACTTGAGCTTAGATTTCTGGTTGATTGTAGGACCTGTAGGCCTCTCCCATCTTTCAAGTGGATTTTTGGGAGAAAGAAAGATTTCATGTAATTGTTGAGGTTACAAAATGTTGAGCATTTGTCATGTTTCAGTAAAGAATTAAGTTCTTGGAACCCAGTGTACTAGGAACCTTCTTGGGAAGACAACTCAGTGCTAATAGACACCAGTAGATTGTTCCAAAGAGATGTGCAGGTGCAGCAGAGCACAGAAGAGAGACACTTAGTCTACCATGAAGGGGTCTGGAAAGATTCTTTGGATGAGGTGCAGTGACATCTTAAGCCTTCAGGCCAAGCATAGCTCATCAGGCCATTTTTAATCACCCCATTTTACTATTGTGACAGTGGTCGTATAAAAGCCTTCAACAGCAGCTCAGTTAAGCTTGGTTTTTGTTTTAGCTGCTTCCCCCTAGTGTTGGGGAAAGGGAGTTAGGATGACTACATTTTCATGTCATGTCCCTTGAGGTAAGGAGATAAGAGAATGAAATTCTCAAAATTTCAAAATGAAGAAGAGGTCACTTGAAAGAAAGTCGGCTTTGGAGTCCCACTGATTTGGCTCTGCTACTTTGTAACCCTGGGGGAGGTACTTCAATGTCTAGGTATCGATTTCTTCCTATGTACAGTAGGCCGCCTCCTTTAATTAGTGTTACTGTTATTGTGAGGTTTAACTTTGTAAAAGTGGGTAGAAGTTACCTGGCCTAGTAGATATTCTGTAAAGGTACCTTTTCTAGTATCATTAATCCCCCCCACCAATAGTGCCTTATAGACTTACACGTGTTTAAGACAGTATACTTTGAATTGTGGCAATAAATTTATGGTAGCATTATAGTATTTAAAACATAAAACTTAGCTGATAAGAAGCTACATATTATATTTGGGTCAAATAACAAATCTTATCCTAATTGTCTTCTGTGGAAATAACTGCAACATGTTTCTTGTTCTGACTTTGGCATTTGGAGAGTTGACACTTTCTGGAATATTTAAATATGAAGAAGTCATAGGATATATAAATTGTTTCTACCCTACATTTAGTATTGTGATATTTAGGCAAGGCTCTTAGCATCTTTGGGCCTTAGTTCCTAAATTTGTTGGATGAAGTGTCTTGATTAAACAATTTCCAATGTTTAGTTCAGCTAATATTTCAGAACCTTAGGAACCCAAAATATTAAGTTGTCTACTTGTTCCTTTTGTTATTGATATCTCTAATTAAACAGGTCATGCTTATTTTTTAGTAATATTTTATAATCTAGACATTTTAAAATTTGCAGTTATTCATTTTTTATTTTCTAAGGACAAGAAAGTGGTAGGAAGACACTAGATAGTAAAGGAAACTTCCTTTACTTGAGATACTGTCTTCTATCAGACCAAATTGGAGTGTTGTTTTAAAAAATTTTATTGTGATTAGAAAAATATGTTTTTTAGAACATCTGAAAAAATATAAAAGCAGGGGCCGGCCTGGTGGCGCACTGCTGCAGTGCGCCGCTTGGGAAGCGCGGCAGCACTCCCGCCGAGGGTTCGGATCCCACATACAGACCGGTTCCCGCTCACTGGCTGAGCGAGGAGCGGGGGCAACACCGAGGGTTGCGATCCCGTTGCCGGTCCCGGTCCGGTACGGGCGCGACACCGAGGGTTGCGATCCGTTGCCGGTCACAAAAAAAGACAAAAATATATATATATATATAAAAGCATAAAGAAATGTATAAGATATATCCATAATCTCTTCAGCTTAGGGATAATTAGTGTTAAAGTTTTTTGGTTTTTGGTTTTTTTGTTTTGTTTTGTTTTGCTTTTCAGTTGGAGATTGTTTATTGCAAACTAGTAACTTTGGAGTATGGATATATTAATCACCAAATAGTAAAGTAATTGGGGGGAGAATATATTTTAGAATTAAATCTTTAGCATTATAGATTATCTAATATATATTTTATATATACACACACACACACACACACAAAATTGTGATTTAGTGTTTCAAAATGTAAATGGCCAACTGAAAACTATCACATTGTAGGTATACAAGTAAGTAAGTGCCATGAAGGAGCTTACATCTTTGTGTGGAACTTTAACTCCCTCTCTGGCATGGATTGGATTTCTGACATTACTAATTAGTTGATTGTAGCTAGGTGAATACCACCCCTAATTTTATGCTTGAACCTAGCAAATCACATTACAATGTAATTTACATTTGCATGGCTTCAAAAGCATAGCTTATTTTGGTTATTTTTGGTTTTGGGCACAATTCTGATGTTTGGATATCACTGTTAGACTCCTGGATAAATTATGACCTTCATAGTCTTACTTGGTCATTTATCTCACTTAATAAGCTTTAGAAAACAAGGTCATATTGGTATGTATTTTTTAGAAATCCATTTAGAAAGAACATGTTTTCTCCAAATGAAAACTACTTTTTTTCCCCATTATAGAGGTGGTATATGAAGGTACTTCAAAAAGTTCATGGTCCGGGCCGGCCCGGTGGCGCACTGGATAGTACGCCGCTTGGGAAGCGCGGCGGCGCTCCCGCCCGAGGGTTCGGATCCCACATACAGACCGGTTCCCGCTCACTGGCTGAGCGAGGCGCGGGAGCAACACTGAGGGTTGCGATCCGTTGCCGGACACGGAAAAAGACAAAAGACAAAAAAAAAAAAAAAAAAAAAGTTCATGGTCCAAAAAACAAAAGTTTGTGGAAAAATTGAATTAAGAGATAATACACATACTTTCATGAACTTTTTGAAGACTGCTTGTATATATTGCTTACACAGTAATTCAAATATATATTAAAAAGCATGTAATAGCAAACAGTGCTAGGCACTGTTCTGAGTACTTTATGCCTATTAACTCTTTTCATCTTTGTAATGGGACTGTGATCCCCATTTTACATAAGAGGAAACTGAGGCATAGAGAAGTTAAGTGCCATACTCAAAGTTTCCTGGCTAGTAAATGGCAGCCTGGATTTTAACCAGGCAATTTGGCTTTAGAATCTGCTCCTAACTGCTTGCTGCATGAGAAAATAAAGTCATGCATTCTAACCCGCAAAACAACTTCTTACAACATTTGAAAAAATTGTTCTAGATGTTTTTGTATTAATATTAGATGTATAGACTTTCTTTTAGTAAGTTATTGGTTTGTAGGACATGAATATCACTTCCATGTCAGTATACACCTAACAGTTAAATGCCTGCATAGGATTCTATTATGTGTTTTTTTTTTTTTTTTTTTTTTTTTTTAAAAGATGACCAGTAAGGGGATCTCAACCCTTGACTTGGTGTTGTCAGCACCACGCTCTAACCACCTAAGCTAACTGGCCAGCCCTCAGAATAGTCTTATGTAAAATCTTGCGATTCAGGCAGATTGAATGTAAGTCTGTTCCACACTCCCCTTCCTAATTTCCACCCTAGTCCTCTACATTCTGGAATCACCTCTGGTTGGTGGACAATTCATATTTGAAATTTTTTTTCCATCATCTTTGAAATTTTTTTCTATCTGTCTTCAAAGGAGACCATCAATCTAGTCAAGACATTTGTGTTAAAGCCAGGACATGTCTTGTTTTAATAGAAATGGAAGATCATCCTTAGGTGTCCTTTTGCAGAAACCAGGAGAGGCTGTGATGTTCCCAAGGTCGCATAGAGTCAGGGTGTGAGGGTCATCTGTACGTTGTTATGGCCATGATTGTGGATCAGATATCCAATAGAGAAAATGTCTAAAAGAGTGAAAAGCCACAGAGAGAGCTTTGAGGACTAGCCATGTCTTTTTTTTTTATAGGGAGTTGGGGAGGAGAAGGTAGTCAGAATGGTGGAGATTGAGAAGCTGAAGACCTAGGGAAAACCACCATTGTCATGAAAAATAATTCTGGGAAAAAGTTAGTAGTCTCTGCCAGGTGTATCATCAGTAAGGTCAGAGCTGTAAAAAGGATGTTTGATTTAGCAGTTATGGTACTCAATATTCCTGCTGTCAAGCCAGCAGTAGAGAGACAAGGTATGTATGTACTTGGTCATTTAGAACACTCAGGTTTCATAAAATAGTAATAAGTAATCCAGCAAAAGGAGAAATAAAGTGCCTTGGAGAAATTATAGATTCTGACTCAAGTCAATTTAAGAGTATAGAAATACAATTGGCATAAAAAACACTGCAGGTAGTCTGAACATGATGTATTACCATTGAGGGTATCATTTGCATGTATGATTACTGCTAAACTATAGATAGTTTGTGTATTTTCCTTTTTTCTTTTTTTTTTTTTTGTAACAAGTGACAAAATATATGTCCGATGTTATGGGCTAGTTCTATATGAGGGCACTTCAAGAAGTCCATGGATAGATTTGTATTACCTTTTAATTCTATTTTTCCACTAACTTTTTGAAGTACTCTCATATTTCCTGTGTCAGACAGTAGAGATCAGCCCTAATGAAATCTGTAGCACTTATGCAAACACTGGACACAGACTAGTTTTCCTCTGTTGGAATGTGAATTCTAACTTTTTTTTAATTCTTATTTTGAGAATATTTTGTAACATGTACTAAAGGATTTGCAGATAAAATTATACAACTTTTAAAAACCCTTAATTTTCTTACTAAAAATATGTTTGTTTTGTACACTTTGGTCCTAGAATAATCTTGTAATTGTGCTTTTAATTATTCAAGTCACCCTTTTCTCTGCATTTTAGGTTATATCATCCTCTCTTCCCTCCCTCAGTTGCTTGAGCCGGTAGCTGGGTTCCTGCTCTTATTTGAGGCTGCTATAAATAACCATGCAGATTGTCACATAGGCATACCAGTATGTTAAATATTTCTGAATTTTCTTGAATGTATGAAGTGGTTTTCAAAAAGGAAAGTAGAATTATCAGACTGAGTGGTTTTCTAAACCATTTTTAAGCAACGAAATCCTTTTTTCACATGAAGTCAGATGGAAGTCCCAATGTATAAAATGTGTATAAAATCTCTTCTTTCCCTCCTCACCCCCCTCTCTTTTTTTAAACAAGTGAGGCATTTAGGCTTTGAAGAGGTTAAGTGACTTCTTCAGTGTCACACAGATAAGCATTAACAGAACTAAGGATTTGGACTGACAATTTTCCTGGTGGTTCTTTAATTGCATTCACTTGTTTGCTTTTCCAATAGTGAAAAGGAAGAAGAAGATAATGAAAAGAGAGAAGATCCAGGCGATAACTGGGAAGAAGGTGGAGGTGGTGGTGGTAATATAGAAAAGTCTTCAGGTCCCTGGAATAGAACAGCTCCGGTACAAGCATCTCCTGCTCCAGTAATTGGTAATGTTAATATTTTAGTTTCAGAAAGATGTCTAATTTTATATCTTGTCAACTTTAAACTAAATGCTTGCTTGTGGGATGAGGGGAAGTGGGGCTCCTTTCCATTCCTGGGAGATTTAAGGTCTTTCAAATCCTAAATAAAAGGAATTTGGAAGGTAAGAAACATTTGTTCTATAAGCTGCTAAAATTTATATGTAGATAAACTGACCAATTTAAATATTTAAGCATTTATCCTAATTTTCTCCTTAAATATTAACTCCTGGCTAATGGGGAAAAGGGTAAGGAAAAAGTAAAATTCATTTACTAGCTACACTTCATTTAGGACTTTTAGTAATGACTAGAGCTCAGCCTTTTAACACCAAGGCCAAGAGTTCAGCTCCCCATAGCGACCAGTTGCATCCCTCCCACCACCCAGATTAAAAAAGACTCGGTAATAATTACCAAAGGTTGTGTTTAACTCCAAAAGTTTTCATAGAAGAAATTCTTAGAGCTTTTATTGTGTTAAGACACTTCTGACAGCTGATAAGGCGTGTCAGGTACCATGTGCTCTACTCGTGTGTGTCTTTTTTTCCATTCTCTATTTTATTCTCATGTCTTGAAGCATGAATTCTCAGCAGGGCCGATTTTATTATTCTCCAGGGGATAAAAGTTGGTTCTTCGGGGATGAAGAAATCTTAGATCTTAATAGTGGTTTGTGGCCCACCAAAGGTCAGAGTAGATAAACAGTAGATTTACAGTATATCTGTGGTATAAAATTTCATGGAGTTAGTGGCAGCTAAGAAAAATGTGTAAAAGGGCTCCTTGGGAGGGCAATAATGAAAAAACGTTCGAGAAGCACTGCTTTAAGGCAATGCATACTCATTTTACTCAGAATAGTATACAGAATAACAAATCACCCCAAATCTTACTATCCAGAATCACAGGTAACTATGTTAACGTTTTTGCATCCTTTCTAGCTTTTTGCTGCATATGTTTTTGTCCATCTAACTTTTTCTTAAACTGCTGTCTGTCATTGCACCTAATAACCCTACTGCATTGCTACGTTCAATGTCCAAGTCTCAGTTCTCATCTGATTTGTACCTGTCAGCAGCAGTTGACACAGTTGGTCACCCCTCACAACACATTCTGCTCTTGGCTTCCAGGACACCATGTTCTCCTGCCTCAATGGTTGTTTCTCAGTCTCTTTTGCTGTAATCGCCTCCTCTCCTCTGCCTCTAAATGCTAGACTGCTCCAGGGTTTGCGCCTTGCTTGTGTTTTCTGTCGTCCCCACTCCCTTGGCAGTCTTGTCCGTGTGTCAGTGACTCTCAAGATTTATATTTTCAGCTTGGATCTCTCCTGAACTCCAGATGTGTATATTTTAACTGTCTGCCCAGCATCTCAAACTCAACATGTCTGAAACTGGACTCCTAATCTTCAGCCCCTCATGCGTCTGCTTCACCCCCCCCAGCCTCTCATCTCGGTGCTGTTCTTTCAGTCACTCAGTCAATGGACCTTGGAGTCATCTGGATTCTTTTGCTGCACACCTAAATCTAATCTGTCAGTAAATTCTTTTTGTATGGATTACTGAGGTGGCCTCTTACCTGGTCTGCCTGTTTCTACCCTTGTTCTCCCCACCCCTCTCCCTACACCCTCAATCTGCTCTCTCCTCCCAACACAGCAGCCGGGGTGGTGATTATTTATTTTATTTTATTTTTTGGCGGCTGGCCGGTATTTTTAAAATATGACAGGACATGTCACTGTGCTGGTCACAAACCTCAATGGCTTCCCCTCTAATGCAAGGAAGCAGAAGTTCGCAGTGACTTAAAAAGCCCTGCACATCTGTTTTGTGGTCCTCCCTTTTCTGACGTCGTTTCTTATTGATTATTAACTTGGTCCTCACTCACTGCTCCTTAAATATACTAGGCACACTGCTACTGCAAGCCCTTTGTGCTTAAGTTTTTGGCCTGTAATTTTCTTTCCTTTTATATCAGGAGTTTGCAAGCTTTTTCTGCAAGGGGCCAGATAGTAAATAATTTAGGCTTTGAGGGCCATACAATCTCTGCTGTAATCACTCAGCTCTACTGTTGGATTGAAGTACCAGAAGGTACTAGATTGAATACACCACCGAGTATAGCTGTGTTCCAGTAAAACTTTAATTACAAAATCAGTTGTTGGGCTGGATTTGGCTTTTTTGCCAACTCTAGCCTATGTGTATATCTCTTTCCAGGTCTTTGCTCAGTTTCACCTCATCACCGAGACCCTCCCCAGTACCACCCTGCTCATCCTGCGCTTCTTTCACAACCCTGCTGTGCTTTTTTTTTTTTTTGACTGGTAAGGGGATCGCAACCCTTGGCTCGGTGTTGTCCACACCATGCTCAGCCAGTGAGCGCACCGGCCATCCCTATATAGGATTCAAACCCGTGGCCTCGGCGCTCCCAAGTGAGCCACGGAGTCAGCCTCCTGCTGTGCTTTTAATCTTGGATATAGCACCTGTCCACTGTTACTTACTTTGTTTCCTCCCTTTAGATTACCGTAGTCCAGTAGAATTTTCTGCGACTGTGGACTAGCACTGTCTGGCTCAGTAGCCACCAGCCACATGTGGCTGTTGAGTACTTCAAATGTGTCTGATGTGACTGAGGAACTGAATTTTTAATTTTATTTTATTTTACTCATTTTAAAATAGCCATACATGTTTAGTAGCTAGAATATAAGGTTCATGAAGGGAGGGGGTTTTTGTTCTGTTAACATTTGTATCCCCAGTGTGTGGCTTGGGTGCTCAGTAAATAATGAAAGCATATATAAGCTTTCCCCCATATAATCAAAAACTATATAAAGTAGTAAGCCTTTATACTGATATTCAAATGGCTTCATTATATTTCAGGTAATAAATGATGATGTGTAGATATTTACTTGAAGTTTTTGATACGTGGGAAACATGTATATAACACTGCATCCGTATTGAGGATGGGGAAAAAAAGACAGGAAAAAGCTGGAAGGCTGTGTCCCCAAATGTCAACCATGGTGAAAGACTTTGGGCTATTCACCTGCTTAATCTTTTCCCTGTTTTACCTATGTTTTCTAAGAAAAGAAAAAAAGAGAAAGAACTTTAAAATCCATTGATGATGTGAAAGAAATGAAGTAATTGTTTATTTTTTATTTAAAAAAACTTTTTTTGTGGCTGGCCAGTATTGGGATCTGAACCCTTGAACTTGGTGTTACAAGGCTCTGCTCATTTTTGTTTTTGTATTATCATCTGTATAATTTTTAAAAATAACTATACAGGCATTTTATTAAACAAGTTCTTTACACATGGCATTTAATTTACCAACGAGATAAAAAAGTGATTATCCTTCTTTACTGATAGATAAACCAAAGGACTTAAAGTGCCAATTTCTGAAAATCAGTCTCTGATGAGACCTATCTCCCAGGTCCGAGCAGATTCCTTTCCCACTTCCAGTAACTTGGCTTACAGAACTCACACAAACAGTTTTAAATTGTCCATGGAGGACAATTTTTGTTGGGGTTTTTTGTTTGTTTTTTGGCAGCTGGCCAGTATGGGGATCCGAACACTTGACCTTGCAGTACTCTAACCAACTGAGCTAACCGGCCAGCCCCATGGAGGAGGAGTTAGAACACTACCCCTGGAAATTAGAATGTTTTCACTGTGAGACATTTTTTTCTGACCCAGAAACTCTTCCTATATCAGGAATTTTTTTTTTCACTATAACTGTTAAATGATTTGGAATGTAGGAATAGTTTATTAAAATGCTGAACATTTGAATAGTTTCTCTAAACTGTTGTAAAATGTTAGTTACAGAAACCCCAGAACCGGCAATGACTAGTGGTGTGTATAGGCCTCCTGGGGCCAGGTTAACCACAACAAGGAAAACACCACAAGGACCACCAGAAATATACAGTGATACACAGTTCCCATCCCTGCAGTCCACTGCCAAGCATGTAGAAAGCCGGAAGTAAGTACTATCATTACTGCATTTGTTTGGGACCTCTATCCCTTGGGCAGGGAGTGGGATAGAGGGGATGTGAGGGGGGTTGCTCCTTCCTGGTAAAGCCCAGGCTGCAGCTGATGGGCAGCTGAGAACCAGATCAGCACTGTATCAATGCCCAGGAGGGAGGAAGGGGTGAAGGGAGAGCACTGAAGACAAACTTTGTCTGCTGTCTGCAGAAATTTCTCTTATCCTGGATTTATATTGTTTTGTAGTGACAAGTCTCATTTACTTAAAATTCTTTATAAGTACATTGTTATGGGCTTATGTTTCTTATAATATGGAAACTAGATATATAAGAGCAATGTTTTATTGTATTCCCAATTAATGTGAATAGATGAAAGATGTTGGCATTTATAAATCTAATATTAAAATAATCTTATTTCAGCAGGTCCTTAAAATGAATTCTACTGGAGTTAAATGACCACATATGGCACAACTACATCTTATTTAGGGACATGAATTTTTAAAAATAAATAAAATGGGAAGAAATGTAAATGATATCAGATGGAAATTTTTGGGGGGTGGCTTTTAGAGTAAATCCCAGCCTTTCCACTTCTTTGAGAGTTGGCTTGAATTTAAACCTTCACTTGGACTTGCTCCTCTGCTCTATCCTACAAATGGATAAGGGACCCTCTGGGAGGGCAGTGACATCATCACACTCATCTTTCTTTACCTGGTCTAATCTGATCCACTCCAAAAAATACAAGTGAGGAGAAGTCATTGAATAATGAGTAGGACTTACAGGAATGAGAAAATCTTTACCATTACTTATGCATAAAGAGAGATGTGTTATCTTTTATTTGCTGAAAGTAAAAGTGAGTCTTAGAAGGAATGTAATTACATAGCTTTTAAACTTAACCAGTTGTTTTCAAGTTGGTCCCAAAATAGACTTGCAGTTAATACTGTTTAGTAGAAGATAGGACGATAGAGCTTCAGTACAGTATTCTGTTTTTCTGTTCAACTGAAGGCTTAAAAACGATTTGATAAGGAATTTATATACCAGTTCTTCCCTCCTGTTCCTTCCTAGGATTCTTCTAAAGGGTGGCTTTTTTTTTCTTTTTGACTCAAGGAAGAATATTTTCAAAAAATATTAATGAAGAAGAAATATTTACTGACTACATTTCTTTTCCCTTAGGGATAAAGAAATGGAGAAGAGCTTTGAAGTAGTAAGACACAAAAATAGAGGTAGGGATGAGGTTTCAAAAAACCAGGCCCTTAAACTTCAGCTAGACAACCAGTATGCTGTGCTTGAAAATCAGAAAAGCAGCCACACACAATACAATTAAAGAATGGTCTTTGCTAACCCTTCTAAGGTAACTAGACCACAGCCAACCACCATGAGCAGCCATTTGTCACCTGAGCTCTGCTGGATCTACAGCAACTGATGCAGAACACTCAATTTAAGGGACCAGCCTGATTGCGCTATGGAAGTTAAAGTGTCACAACTGCTCTTTGTATATTGGATTTAGGAGAATTTTCATTGTTATATAAAGGTGTGAACTAGATTCAGCAGTGTTCTTTCATAATTATTCTGCAAATACAAAAACACCTGCAGCTAGTGGTCATTTCAAAATCTTTTTATGTTCAGATACTGAGCCTTCGTAAGGGTTGACTACCTCAGATTTGCTGCATTCATTGTGGACTTCATGTGGATCACAACTTCTGGATAAGAAAGTTACAGCTATTAAGTGTTGATGTGAACCTTGAAACCAGCTCTACTGGATTCCTATCAGAAATCCTGCAGGAAGTCAGCCATCTGGGTTCTGATCTGCTGTAAAAGATGAAGATTTAAGTGACCTTAATTAACCTGTCCTGTACCCCACCCTTAAGGAATACTCTGTAGTAGGCTGTGGCTATATTAGACTTCCTGGAACATGCTGTTCTCAAAAGAACTGGTGTGTTCAGATCATCTGTGTAGGGCTGTGATTTATAATTTAAACTCTTGTATTCTGAGGTAACCACAAATAAAATTCAACCAAACTTGGGTCTGCTGAATGAGAAAGGGGGTGGGGGAGGGAATAATCTTGTTTCTTTTAGTAATTTTTTATTTGGATAGCGCTTTTTCTGTGTTCCATATTAAGGCCTTTTTTGCTTTGAATTGGAATAAGTTCTTTGACAGCATATTGCTTGGTTAAGTGAGTAACCTGAAATATGCATTAGAATTGTGAAATGTGGTTTGAATTTGCCAATCCCTACAGTGGAACCAAACAGCCTTTTTAAATTTTTGGTTGGCCAGTGCAGGATCGACCCTGGACCTTGGTGTTACCAGCACCACACTCTAACCAGCCAGCTCCCAAATAGCCTTTGGTGTAAAGGGCAGTGGAGGCTGCGGGCTCTACTTAAGGTGCTGCTAAAGCCTCTAATCAGGTCTAAAATGTGTCGTAAACTGCAGTGGAAAGAGTATGGTTTCCGCTTGGCTACAGGATTCACTGATCTGTCCTTATAAATTCAAAACAGTGTGAGCAAAACCTCATCAAAAGCCCATTTAAGTTTTATGGATCTTGCATGATCTTTGATAAGAATTCCTTATATACTTGTGTCCCAGATTTTTAGGTATTGGACGTTCTGTAGATGCAGCGATTGTCCCAGCTAGCTCGATTATCAACCTTTTGGTGTGTCTTTATGTTGTTCATTTGGAGAATCAGGGCAAAAGACAGGTGATATAGCACTTCTGTTTTTAATAATTACAGCTTAAAATATCCAGTTGTTTTTAGTTCTTAAAAGGGACACGAAGAAGCTACCCAGGAGTACCGAAAAGTGTCTTTCCACCTAATGAGACAGTCTGGCAATTAATTTCCTAGTTTTGAGTCTGGTTCAATAGAAATATTTCAAGGTGGTATGTGACCACTTGGTGCAGAGTCTGGGTTTCTCTGTAATGAATCCCTTTGCCAAATGCAGGACATGCAGACTTTCTCCTGGCAAGATTGAAGCAGATGGCTGAGTAAAGCTGCCCTGATGTGGGAGTGCTTTCCTGCAGGAGTTCAGTCTTGGTGAAAGTGTCAGAAATTGGACTCGTAGGAGGGTTATCATATCTCTTGACGGCACCTGCCAACCACTTCTGGGCAATAATGTTGGCATTATTTGAGGTGGCCAGGCGGATGTCCTGCCTTCTGACATATTTGGATGAATAGCTGAACCACCCAAGGGGAAGTGGGATGATTAAATGAGAAACAAGGGGATTCTTGGTTAAACTGAAGGCTTTATTTGGGAACCAAAAACCTTAACAGATAATCTCTTGGACCTTGAGCCACATATTTTCCCTGAAAAGTATGCATTTTTTCCCCAGCAAGATCTTATTGGGGGTTATGCATTGAAGAATGAGCTAAGACGAATACATGGAGGTGTTATTTAATGGCATACTGTACCAGAAATCTGAAGACCTGCAGCAGATTTAAATTCCAACCCTTGTTATAACTTTTTAAAAGATTGTGAAATTATCAAAATGCACATGAATCAAGTTTTAATAAACTGTATGATGGGTGGATGAGGCTGTCCAGTGTATCATTTCTTTGAATTCTCAGGCACGGTTTGGCAGTGCAAGAACTCTGTAACATTAACAAATTCAATAAAAAGTCAATATCTGGATTTTGGAGTGTAATTGTTTTTATTCTAAACCCTTAACCTATACTCTGTCTTTGAAAATGAATTGATGTCAGGGCTGGCCCATCGCTCACTTGGTAGAGTGTGGTGCTGATAACACCAAGGCCACGGGTTCGGATCCCTATATAGGGATATCTGGGTGGCTCACTTGGGAGAGCATGGTGCTGACACCACCATGTCAAGGGTTAAGATCCCCTTGCCGGTCATCTTTAAAAAAAAAGAAAAGAAAATGAATTGATGTCACGCTGCCTTTGCTGTTGGAGAGTAATCATGCTGTCAACTCAGGAGTGTACTTTCTGTTTGTGAAATGTTTGCACAGTATTCAGAATGTTAGATGTGGAACAAAAGTGGCTGCAAAGCTATGATAAATGTTTTTTATATCTGGGAAAACTGTTGTACTATTGTCTGTTGTGATATTAAATTTTGTTACTTTACAGCAAGGAGTGATGGTTGGTTTGCTCACTTGGTTAGAGCACAGTGTAATAACACCAAGGTCAAAGGTCCTGATCTTTGTACTGGTCAGCTGCCAATAAATAAATAAATTATAGCAAGGGAATCTAAGATTTTTATTTTGTAGACTAAAGATTTGAGTCTTTGTGCCTTGAGAAGCTTACATGTTTTTCAAAATAGCAGTTTTAAATTTCAGGATTTAGTTTGGGTTATAGTTCCTAAATTTTTAAATTAGTGAAAGTATATTTCAAGTCATTTTTGGTAATGAAGTTTAAAAGTTTAATGTTAAAAAATTTGCTATTTGATTATTTGTACTTGAGGTTCTTTTTCTTGACAGCCCTATTTGAAATAGAATTTACACCTGCAGAAACTGACACACTTATCTTCCTTCCTTTAATTTCCTCCATAGTTTTTATTAACCAAACTTTTTTTTTTTAGTTAAGTCACCCTTTTTTTTTTTTTTTTTTGTCCTTTTTGAGACCGGCCGCACCGCGTTCAGCCAGTGAGCGCTGTGAGTGCACCGGTCATCCCTATATAGGATCCGAACCCACGGTGCTCCGCCGCACTCCCAGCACCGCACTCTCCCGAGTGCGCCACGGGCTCGGCCCAAGTCACCCTTTTAAAGTGTATGATTTAAGTAGTTTTTAGTGTATTCTCAAAGTTAATTGCTGAACACTTTTATCACCCCCCAAAGAAATTCATACCTATTACCAGTCATTCCCCACTCTCCTCCTCCCCGCACCCCTTCACCTCCCAGTCCTCAACCCTAGGCAACCATTGTTTTATTTTTTGTCTCTAGATTTCCCTATTCTGGGCATTTCATATAAACAGTGTTATATGATCTTTTGTGATAGGCTTTTTTCACTTAGCATGTTTTTAAGGCTCATCCACGCTGTCACATATACCTACCTCATTCTTTTAATCACTAAACAATAGTCTGTTGTATGGATATATGCCACATTTAGTTCATACATTCATCACTTGATAGGCATTTGGATTGTTTCCAGTTTGTCATGAATCATGTCACACTGAAGTCCCGTGTACTGTACAAGTCTTTGTGTCAACATGTTTTTCGGGTATATAACTAGGATTGAAATTGCTGGATCATATGGTATCTTTGAGGAACTGCCAAACCCTTCCAAAGCAGCTGCACCACATTTCGCTCCCACCACCAATGCCTGAGGATTACATTTTCTCCATATCCTTGTTATTACTGCATTCTAACCTTCCTTCTGGGTGTAAAGTACTATCATTGTTTTGTTATGAATTCCTGTAATGACAAATGATGTTGAACATCTTCATGTACTTTGTGACTATTTGCATATCTTCTTTGGAAAAGTGTCTATTTAAATCCTTTGCCAATTTTAGGTTGGGTTGTCATTTTATTTATTTATTTATTTATTTATTGGCAGCTGGCCAGTATGGGGATCTGAACCCTTGACTTTGGTGTTATAAAGCTGTGCTCTAACCAACTGAGCTAACTGGCCATGAATTGCAAATATCTGCTTCCATCTTTTCCCTTTCTTATTAGTGTCTTCAAGCACAAAATTTTCTATTTTGATGAAATCTAGCTTTTTTTTTCTTCTGTTTGTGCTTTGGGTGTCATATCTATGAAACCACTGCCTAACCCAAGGTCACAAAGATTTATGCTTATTCTTTTTTTTTTTTTTTTCCTTTTTGTCTTTTTTACTGACCGGTAACGGGATCACAACCCTCGGTGTCGCGCCCGTACCGGGGACCAGCAACGGGATCGCAACCCTCGGTGTTGCGCCCGCACCGCGCTCAGCCAGTGAGTGGGAACCGGTCTCAACATGGGATCCGAACCCTCAGCGGGAGCGCCGACGCACTCCCAAGCGGAGCACTCTTCAGTGCGCCACCGGGCCAGCCCAGATTTATGCTTGTTCTAAGAGTTTTATAGTTTAACTCTTCCATTTAAGTCTTTGATCCATTTGGAGTTAGTTTTTGGATATGGTGTGAGTTAGAGGTCCAGCCTCATCATTCTTCTGAGTGTTATCCAGTTGCCCAACACCATTTACTGAAAAGACTCCTCTATAGTTCCTACTCTTTATTTGACACACTAAGTATTTTGCTTATTTATCTCTGTTAGAATGTGAAATTGGTTTGGGGTAGAAACATTTAGGTGGGGATGTCAAGGGATGGGGGAGTATGGGATACAAGTTGTGGAGAGAGGTCAGGCCAAGGTGTGGTAGATGGCAAAAAAATGAAGAATTGAGGTCGGTCACTATATTTAGGGAATGGAAACTAATGGGGGTAATCAGAGATTGGAAGGTGACTCAAGAAAGTAGAGTATCTCATGAAGAGGTATTCTAATAACTAGTGTCCTGAAACTGCATGTTTGTAATGGTTTTCATTCATCACCAGCTACTGTAACTAGGTATACCTGGGGCCTGCAGAATGCAGGTAAGAATTGCTGTTCTTTGGCATGGTTAAAGATAATGAATATTATGAAAGCTATTGAATAAGAAATAATTGTTTAAATAGTAATACTTGTAATATGTAAAGTAAATAATTATATCCATGTCAGGGATTTAGGATATACATAAAAGTAATCACTAAGGTAGTTCAGGCCTTTTGAAATTGAAGCCCAAGTGAGAACTAGAATTCTCTAGTTACTATAGTAACTGGATATAGTAACACAGAAGCTGGGTAGAACTTAAGTTGTCAACTTCAAAAGTCTTCAATGCCTCAACTGAACTTTTCAGGGATCCAGTCAAAGTATGCAGCAAAAAACTTATGTAAGGATAAGGTCCTTTGTCTCTAAATATGATGGAAAATAGTGTGTAAAGTATAAGGGAAATGGCATCCACAGCCTGTCTTACTAGACTTGAGCAGAGAGCTTTAGTATCAGGTGAGAAGTTGGGTTAACTAAGTAGGAGGCTGTCACTTTCTCACTAAAAAAGTAGCAAATTTATCAGGGAATGACATTTAAAAGTTTATTGCAAATATTTAGTGTGACATTCTACATTTTTGCATTAACATTTTAGGAAACATGGTCTGTGACAAGTTTCTGTTTTTCTTGAAAACAGACAGCAGATTTTGACCCCAAGCTCTGAATTTTTAAATATTTATGTTTTTTATCTTTTCTTACCCTGTTATGAGAGTTGTTGGTAATAATTTTCTATACCATCTCTTTTATCTTCTTTTGCAGAGAACTCAAACTTTTTTTTTTTTCTTTTTGTGTAGGAAGGCAAAATGTGCAAAATCATTGATTGCCTTGAATGTTAGCATATGCAAACCCAAAACATTGCCTAAGGAGAGAGACTTTGTGTCCTTCCTTTTTAAACTCCAAACTTTAGACAGTGTATCATTCCCTAAAAAAGACAGCAGCTGAAATTTTTTCTGTATGAGCAGTTTCTTCATAAAAAGTGGGACAACTCTACAAGAGTGTGTCCATGGTTCTCATACTGATGCCTGATTCCCACCCCCAGTCATTCTGATTTAATTGGTATGGGGTGTGACCTTAGCATAGGGATTTTTTTAAGTACCACAGTTAATGTGCAGCAAAGTTTGGGAACTGCTGGGTTATGTCAGAATAAGAGATATTAGCCCCCTTAGTAGGAATTTTGGAAAGTCACAGGGCTAGTTTAAGTATGTAGGAAATCACTGAAATTTCATTCTTAGCCCAGAAAGGATTATCATATTTCTAAATGTATTTTTATTTTTTTTATTTTTTATTTTTTTAAAAGATGACTGGTAGGGCCGGCCCCGTGGCTCACTCGGGAGAGTGCAGCACTGATAGCACCGAGGTCACGGGTTCGGATCCTGTATAGGGATGGCTGGTTAGCTCACTGGCTGAGCGTGGTGCAGACCACACCTTGCCAAGGGTTAAGATCCCCTTAACCGGTCTTTTTTTTTTTTTTTTTTTTTTTACCG